GTAAATTGAGTAAGATAACTTTAGCATAAATGAGTGTGCACCGACCAACTCAATTTTTGACTGTTTCTTCTTTAATGAGAATCGTCCAAAGACCATGCATGTACCGAAGAAATATATTTTGCACGCCCTCTTTAAGGCACGTTTTCCACCGTCCAAGTAACACCGTCCATATAGACCCTCAAGTCCTAAACAATGCCCTGACATCCAGTTAGTCCTTGTCTAACCTCTCTTGTAAAATTTTAAAGCATAGCCACAATACCTTCCAGTGAACTCCAAGCATACTCCTTTCATCCAGAATTAAAAGATCCTAACTATGATGTCAAGACAGTATGCGTGACATCTCCCATTTATCAACAAAAGCTTCCATGGTCCATATCCAATCTACAGAGAAAAATAAATTCTCTCAAACAATATCCAATCATGTTTCTCAAGTCTCTTCTAAGAATCAAGAACACAGTTGAAATAATTTAATAGCCTTAACAAGTCAAGCTCACAAGCATAACTTACTAAGCTAAAGTATCAACACACTAAGATGTTAAGACATTTGGTCTGACATCACAATCTCACATGAATCACATGAACACCTTCATGCTCATAAGAAAAAAAAAAATCACAATTCTTGTACCATAACCAATAAACTCTTAGATTAAGATCGAATAACACCATTTATCACTCTCCCTGTGAACACATCCATACACTGTGCAAATCCATCTTGAACCTTACAACCATAAACAACCTTGTTCCTTTAGAAAAAAAATATCCAATCAAACTTGGAATGCTAACATCCTCGAAAGAGACATACAAATTATTTTAACTCCTTGGTTAGACAAGATATCATTCATACTTGGAAGACATCAAATCCTTCACCATATGAAGAAAGATATATCCTCAGCCTACTTCCTTCTCAAGATTCAACCTGATCCAATATTTTCTAGAGATACTTCCAGCAGAACCTACCATTTACTCACAAATAATCAGAATCCACACAGTCTTGACCATACTAGATAATTCTCTTCTAATACAATTGGTGAGTAACAACTTTCCTGAGATGATGTTTCAAACTTAGTTAAGACATTAGCCTCAATCATAGGAACTATCTACTTTGGTTATGGAGTCAACATCCATATGAATAACTATTTGCATGATAATCCATACACTCCACTTACCAAGGAACACATGAGGATCCCACTAGATCATAGTTGCAGCATCTCATAGACCATCATAGAAGGCAGAATACCATAGAGAGAAATAAACTCTCACAAGCCTCATGAAGCTTCAACTTAGAAGTAGAATGTTCAAACATCCTGTCTGACATTACCGAGTTAACACCCATCCTTAAGCATTCAGAGAGGAGATTTCCTCTATCAAAATGACTGACAATAAACACTAAGGTATATACTGAGCATCATACCATAAACAGACTTCTCAGCACATAGTTCCTTGAGGCTCTCACAAATAACTAAGGTTATTTGACACATTTTTCTCCAAAGAGACCAATAAGAAACCTTTTCACAAGGTCCTTGATCAAGTGGGAACAACAACATGACTGGAACTTGCAGTACTAAAACCTTTTTACTCCAGATAGAAATCTGGATCACTTATACCAAACAACCAAGCAATCATCAACTCCCTTGAGCTTTTGCCATTACATGATTCACCAAGGTTAAGATAGACTTTAGAACTAGCCATACAGATGAAGAGTACATAAGCCTAAAGAGACCAACCTTTAACAAAAAGACAGCTTCAGTGCATACTTTCTGCCTTTAGCATAAACATTATGATGTTTAGCACAATGTCAGGATATTTGAATGACATCAATGACTTGGCTAGCTAATTGATGAACCACACTGAGTTCCACCTTAGCTGATACAGTTATGAGGATTTATCTCTTTTAGGCTTCCAGACACCATCTCACATTGAAGGGCTTCTCCATCACAATAGAAAAGAAATTCATAGACATATGACAATCTGCTTCAAGCACAATTATCCAAGAGAATCATCCACACCCAATTAGAGTCCATACCTAACCTTAGAAGAGGTAGACACAACTATCTGTAAGTTCACTCAGATCCATCTTTGAAAAAACTAGACAAGTCTCCAAAATGTCAGGGTGAATGCCTTAGACATTTTCCCCTGACTTCCATAAGCATAGAATCTGGTAGAGATGTCTTCACAGTCCTCCTATAAGAATTAGAACACATACTTCTATAGGAGATACATGAGCATAGCTTTTGTACCTTTATGCGCTTAAATCAGAGATAAACTAACCCAAGGAATGTTCATCAAAATGACCATGAATGAATCTTGACTTCCACCAGCACACATATCCATAGCAAGTTTCTTGGATAAAGACTTCCTAGACTCCAAATCAAATGACTCTTCAAGACCAACCTGAAGAAGATTCCCATCACTATTGATAAACACACTTATTTTTATCATCCAAAACATATGCTACAACCCTCCTTTGTCCGAGAAGTTCACTCCTTGTATCAACAAGATTCTGCACACACACTCTTTTGAAGTGATGTCTCAACATCTTGTTGAACATTAGTTCCTTTTCCCACGAACAGATCATTGAAATTGGTTCTGAAGTCATTACAAGAGTTACATACCTTAATTACATTTAAGGACAAGATAAATACCTATTGAGAACTCCATAGATGATACCGGCTATATCCACTCTTTAAGACACATCACAATGCTTGCTCCTTTAAATAACTCCTAGCTAGTGATGACATGAACATCTAGAGAGGCTGACAGCATCTTCAGAAAGCCAGGTGAGATGCCAAAACATTTTAAAAGGCACCATGTGTAAGAATAACATCATTATCAACAACAACGAAAGAATCTACACAGAAGTATCAGTCAACCAATAAAAGTTGTCAGGACGGATTGAGAAAGCTATCATCCTAACTTCCAACCCCCTTGAACACAACAGTAATGGATAGTCTGATCACACAATCTCCTTCCTTGTTCAAAAGACCAGAAAGTATCTTCCCTATAACTTATCCAGAAACACAACAAGATGCCTGCTCTGATACCAATTGAAATTCTGGTATACAAATCTCAGATGTCCCAAGAGATATCGAGATATTGATCTCTGCTTATCTAAACAAGGACATAACAAGAACATTTTGATATCTCAAAGTCATAACAGTGCCATGACAGATGTTTCAACATCTGTTTGAACATATATTTGAGAGTATAAAAATAACTAAGATATACAACATAATGATAAATAACACCAAGATATGACCCAGTTCGGTGTACAAACAACACCTACATCTAGGGGCTACCAAGCCAGGAATGAATTCACTATTAGCAGTATTAATTCATAGCTAAACAACCTCCGGTTTACAACTCTCCACTTAATCCCTACCAAGTGCAACTTCTACCTAGAAACCCATCTCAATCCCTAAATCACATCGGTGATATCTAACAATCACAACCTCCAGTGACTGTATCAAACTGTTTAATTGAAAGACACCCTTTTCAATACAATATTCAGTTAATACTCATGACTAACACTAATACTTGAATATTTGCTTAAAAACTTCATCCAAGAACAATATACAATTCATTACCTACAGGTTTTTGAATACGAAAAACTATGTCTACCACAATGTATCAAACCTGATACAAAGAGTGACTTACAATACAGGAAAGCCACACGACTCTCAAAATCCTAAACCCTTATTTTTACTTTACAAAAGTCTTAACAAGGATTCCTCTATTTGCTCTAGGTCTTGGTCTTCCTTGATCCATGTTCTTATTGCACCTCAAATCTTGGAACAGATTTGCAAAAAACCTGCTGTATCAGACCAGGATGTCGAGTCCTCAAGATAGGACATCTTGTCTGACATGTTGTTCTTTACAGATTTCTTCATGTCAGAACATCTTGTTCAACATCATGTTTTACCAAAATTTGGTCAAATCTTAGAGCCTTCAAAGATCAATCAAGTTAGAGTCACTTATAAAATTAGAGAACTCCCTCATCTCAGTAATCCTGCTGCCCAGATCTCTACCCTTCCTTTCACAAATATTCGCAGTAGAGTTAAAAGCACCTCCAGCAAACCACTCCCCATCCACATACTTAACAGCGAGCAACTCCTTTCACATAATCCTTTTGAGGGCCAACAAACAAGGAGCATAAATGTTGACAATATAAATAAAGATACTTTCCATGAGAATCTTGATTCCTAAAAAGCCAATTCCTTTAAAACTGAAAATAATCTGAGCAATTCATTCTTTCCACAATGTGATTAAACCTTCCGATAGATCGTTCGATTATTACTAATATTTTGAAAAAAAAAATTTATAGTAAACAAAATAAATTAAAAAGTATACTAGCTTCTTTTTTTTATTTTTAATTTTAAAACGTAACATACACGTGCCAATTACTAATGTGATGTTTTTAATGTAATGTATTAAGAGTGTATGCGAACTATCACATTTTTAATGATAGGGGGAATTTATAGTTATTAAAGATAGTGTTATTAGAATGACTTTTTTTAAATAATATTTTTAATGATACGACGTGTATACAAATATGTTGGATAAAGTTATCCAACTTTTTTTTAGTTAGGTAATGAAGTTGTCCCCAATTGGACCCGGGATTTAGCAAATGTAGGCAAAAACAATTTAAAATCTCACTAGAAGAAAATGGAAAGGAGTAGAGAGTCAAATTTGGTTCTATCATGCGAAACAATCGCATGATCTGTATACGTGACGAAAAGCTATTTATAAAAGAAAAAAAAAGTAATGACGTGTTTGAAATCTCAAAGGAGACAACGTTTTCTAATTATCATCGGCGTTGTATCATCGAGGGAGGCAACCTTCATCTCTTCCCTCCCTCTCTTCCATCTATTTTCTTCATCAATTCTTCTTTCCAGAACACCATAGCTAATTTTCAAGTTAGTGTAAAATTTAAGCAAATTGTAAATAACATTGTTGTATATATATTTAGAGGGAGATTGTTTTGGCGGGGGCTTAAACGTAGAATGAGAACGGGTAAATGGGCAAAGAGTATGGGAAGAATATCAAGGATTGGAAGTTTTGCAATTTCTTCTTCCTTAAATGATAATAATCTACCACAACCATGCATTACATGCACCACTTTTAATATTCTTGCACCCATTTATAAACGTCTCAACGATGAGGTTCTTTTCCTTCTCCCTCGTTAATCCTTTTCTTCTTCTTTTTCTTTCTTTTCTTATTTGTTTTTGTCTACCAGGACCCGACATGTCGAGAGAGTGATTATAGAGCGTATTGGTTGGCGAGGAATCATAGAATTTTGGATTGGCTCTTAAATGAAAAGTCTTCTATTATTTGTCTTCAGGTTTGTTTATGTCTGTTATGAGATTCTATAATTGGCCAGCGTTGAAGGTTAATAATAATGCTTTGAATTTGTTTAGGAGTTTTGGGTTGGAAATGAAGAGCTTGTTAATTTGTATGAGAAAAGACTTCAAGAGGCTGGTTATGTTAGTTTCAAACTCGGAAGGACCAACAACCGTGGAGATGGTATGCATATTCTCCCTCAGTTTTGCTAAAATGCCCCTTTTGGTTCTCAGTATTTCATCATTTTGTTATCACAAATAATCATCTTTTTCATAGTACATTATGGATTTATAATGCATTGAGTAATCAGGCAAAAATATATATTGGTCCAGGACATTTAGAATTGTGTTAATTGAAGGATAATTTCTATTTTTCACATGCATACTTTTGTTTAGGAATTTCTTGTTGAAAAGTTATGCACAATGCGAATTCTGATATAGTGTGTTATGTCTGGTTTATAACAGGTCTTCTAATAGCAGTGCAGACGGAATACTTTAATATTCTTAATTATAAGGAGTTGCACTTCAACGACTGTGGCGATCGCGTAGCTCAGTTGTTACATGTTGAATTAGTTTTTCCGTTTTCAAAAGGGCTTACTGAAATTAGACAGGAAATTCTTATTGTTAACACTCACCTTCTGTTTCCTCATGATGCAACATTGTCGCTTGTACGACTGAAACAGGTATGTATGGATTCAAATTCGGTATACAAGTGTTTCCTAGTTATTAGACTTGGTTTAAAATTTTCATTATGTTGCAGGTTTATAAGATACTTCAATATGTAGAAACTTATCAGAATGATTTCCAACTCAAGCCGATGCCAATCATGTTATGCGGGTGATTGAACTTTATATTAACTTCAATGTACTTGTTTTTCTTAAAACTATTGAACAATTGTTTTATTTAGAACATTTTTATTTCTCAGCGACTGGAACGGAAGCAAACGTGGACATGTTTACAAGTTCTTGAGGTCTCAAGGTTTTGTATCATCCTACGATACTGCACATCAGTACACTGATGCAGAGGCGGACAAGGTCATTATTTAGTATTCTCTTCAGATTTTTTTTTAATTGAGTCGATCACTTATATTGTTCTATACTATATCGATGCAGTGGGTTAGTCACCGAAATCATCGAGGAAATATATGTGCTGTTGATTTTATTTGGCTTCTAAATCCTGACAAATATCGAAAATTACTAAATGCAAGTTGGAGTGAAGCAGTGTTTGCCATGTTCAAGGTACTCATAGACATATTTTTCTTACACTACTGTCTGACTATGATATATAGCACAATCTTTATCTTCGTAGAACTAACTTGGTTTGTCAAAAATTTATCCGTTTTTCCAGTATCTATTGCGGAGAGCTTCACTGACAGAGAGTGATGCATTCGCATTTCTAAGGGCCGATAATGAAGATTGTATTACCTATTCTGGTTTCTGCGAAGGACTTCGTCAGGTATGTTGCAGCCTTGACTGTTGAATTATTACTCTAAAATTTCATGTGAGGCTTGTGATTGTCTTAGAGATCCAACTGGGCTATAAGGATTTTTTTTCCATTCTATGCAGCTCAATTTAATTGGCCATTGTCATGGTTTGAGTGAGGAAGAGATAAAGGAGTTATGGGTCCAAGCTGACATAGACGGAAACGGTGTTCTTGACTATAAAGAATTTCTGGTAAAGTATTTCACATGAAATTATATAAACAATATATCATACAAGAAAAGACTCACAAGCTTGTTTGATATTGTTTGCTCCTAGTTTGTTTGCTAAATCATGGTCTTGAAATTATGCGGTTGCAGCAGCAAATATGGATTTCATCGGTTTTAGATCAGATAGATGACAACAAGAATAGGGAGCAAGAGGACAGTTCAAACGATGTTCAAGAACAAACGATCGGTTTTAGTGTAAAAAATGCAGTTTTGTTCCCTCCTGAGGTGGAGAAAGGTAGATGGCCTGAAGACTACTCCCTATCTGATCATGCTCGACTTACCGTTGTGTTTTCGCCGATAAGAATGCCATGCTCTCAGATGATTTGCTGACACAAGACTTTTTGGTGCTCTAGCTTAGGAGTTATTAATTAGAATTAAAACTTGTGTACATAGATATCACATCACACAAAGGATGAAACAGTGGAATAGTTTTCTTGTCTCGTGTAAAGATTTGACAAAAGAAAACACAAAAAAATGATATGTATATATAGCTGTTTTGTTTGTATAGGTTTCTTAGGCATCAATCCTTTTTGTAGCATGGTAAGATGCATCCTCTAGATAGAGCTTCTTTGAATATATGAGTGTTCAGACACATTGTATCTTGTAACATATTTTGCTCTTGATGGAGTATTCAAATTGTATAAAGATGAATCAAATAGTTTCTTGTAGATACTGCCAGCTATCTTAGCAATGAAGTCAAATTCTGTTTTAAGATCCAAAATCAGAAAAAGAACTTCAGAAAAGAATCATAAGAAAATATAAATTAAACATTGTAAAGATTGTACATTTATCGAATTAAGGCTAAAAGTACTTAACATTGCTGTGTATTTTCGACAATATTCATGCAGCTAGTACCACAAAGTAACGAAAACTATACCTGCAGAGCAATAGACTATCATTAACATAAAACCAACCGTAACAAAAGTTTGTTTCATTTTTTTTTTTTGAAATTGAAATTTTTGATCAAATTGAGTTATTCTAACTGAAAATTTGGGCCGGATCTAAACTCTGACTCAGCAGAGCCCACCTTGGTTTCAAGGCATCTAATGGGGTAGGACCGAGTTAGATTAACGTAAATGGACTAAATCGAACATGTCGGCCTAAGAATCTTATTGCTGACTAATACATTTTAATATGCAAATGGAAAATTTGAGACATAATGACCCATAAAAAAGTCTTATGGACACTGAACCTATGAGATCATATATACATTGGCAAACAGACATATTTCATATACTTAAACATATATATGTGGCTCAGACCGGTTCAATCTGACTTAACACCAGTAGAGTTATCAATCAGTATAATCAACAATGATATTTGACATCCACCGTGGGACACAGTAAAATTAACTCGAGCCACATAATCAAATATAACAGCATCCCCTTATTGTCCTGGGATGGTAAGGGTGATCCCCAGCAACAATGACAATGACTGAACTGTCATGCCACGAAGGAATTTCATCACTAGAATGAGACATTACAGGACAACATACATGATCTACAACCACAGTCGGCAGGAGACGAGCACGATGACCCCGTGGATCCACAACCTTTGACAGCAGAAATTTGGAACATTCAGGTCCCTGACAACTTAAAATCTCCCTCCCTAGAGAGGTTCGATGTCAAAAGTGACCCTCACGAGCACTTAATTACTATCTACACGCAAATGGTCATTATCAGGGTGACTGGCTCCCTCAAAAGCAAGATAATGGCGAGAACGTTGAAAGAAGCAGCCTTCCGATAGTATATGAGCCTCTCGAGATTCTCCATAACCAACTACCACAACCTGACAAGGAAGACGATCCACCTATTCTTGGCCAGCAACACATGAAAGTTCTCCATAACCATTACATAAGAACAACATCTCGCCCTTACAGAAGAACGGACATCTCATCTTTACAGATGAAAATCATCCATTAAAAGATTATGCATAACACAATCTCTACCTTGCAAACCTCATGCGTGATGTATTGTGTATAATCTGACCTCTCACATAAAACATCTCATCCTTACAAGTCTCATGCTTAAGAAATTGTGTACATTCTGGTCTCTCACATAAAGCATCTTATCATTACATGCCTCATGCTTAAAGGATTGTGTACAAATTCGAAAATTTGGGTTGAATCTAATTCAGATTCAGCAGAGCCTGCCCTGGCTTTAAGGCACCCCATGGGGCAGAATCGGGCTAGATTAACGTAGATGGGTCAAGTCGAACGTGTCGGTCCAAGACTAATGTATCTTACTTCTGACTAATACATTTTAATACGCAAATATTCAAGAAATATTAACAACCATAAAGGTCGACCATAGACAGAAAAACAAGAGTTTTGATTCCCATTAATTGACCTCAGACAGAAATGAGACATTGATCTTAATGACCCATCGATTGATTTTATGGACACTAAGCATATGAGATCATATATAAACTAACAACCGTGGGAGGAAGAAAATAGACACAATTCAAATACTTAAACAAATATTTGTGACTCTGACTAGTTCAACACCGATTGACTCGGTAAAAAAAATAAATTTGAATACTCTCATTAAATATGCTCTAAAAACTATTAATCTCAACGATTTTTAAAAGTCAGTCTTAAAATCGGTTTGTAAGACAAGGATTGTCTCCAATTTTAAACATATCTCTAAGTCATATATTATCCGATGTGAGACTCTTAACATACATTCACTCACATCTAACACTATTGAGTTTGATACGTGAATATAAATGACAGATGACCTGATAGCAAAAGTCTAATTGGAGTGGTTTAGCGGTTCTTAAACCTAACTCTGATATGACACATTTTTCAATTTAAGTTTTTTAACACACTCTCACGTCCAACGCTATTAAACTTGATGCATGAATATAAATAATAGATGACCCGATAGCATGATATCAAGTGGCGTAACAAATCCTGAATATGGCTTTGAGTTGCGGCTAAACTTAAATTCAACCTTTCAACGCTAATTCGTTAGGTGAGAATTATTCGTTGTTGAAAATACAAATATCTATGATTTGCAAATCATTCACGTCATACTAAATATTGGATGTAAAAAACATCTGGAAATCAACTCTAAAATTAAGTTTTTAGATTATATTTAAGTGATAATATCTACTTGTAAACAGGAGATTTGAGGGTTTTTCAAATTTTTTTTACTTATGTCTCTCAAGTTTTTTTTCAGCACTCATAATTTATAAATTGAACCAATATCACTATTCCCTTGTATAAAAAAAAAACTGCAATGGAAATCAACTTCTAAGTATATCCAGCATTTCAGATAAGTATAAAATTGAATATAAAGCAAACAATAACTAATAATTATAAAGCAAGCCAAGTGTTTGTATATGTTGAGCTATATTCTTTCTCAAGTGGTTAGCAGATATGATGTAATGATTTTCAGGCCACAAATTTGTGACATTAGGCTTCATCAGCCAATCCTCCAATCCATGCTTTAACTTACCTTTACTAAAGAGCATTAATACTATTATTAAAGTTAGATTCTCTTAGACACTTTAAAGTGACATTATTAATCAAAATATAAACACTTGGGCTTTTTCACCACCCTCTTTTTCCTCTGAAGTTGCCAAAAAAAAATTAAAAAGGAAGTAAAAGTAATCTGAATTCTGAAGCCTTTAAATATAGTGAAAAGAATAAAGTATGTACGCAAGAAAGTAACACCAAGATTGCATTGCAATTGCAATAACAACCTGTTCATTTAACTTTTATAAATCGTTACATTTACGTAAGTTAAGAGAAATATTACTACCGTAGCCGTATACAACAAAAATGTAAAGCTTGGTATTTGCACCAACATCAAATGTGAATTGTTAACTAATAAAGATTGCTATTTGCTCTCTTTTTATATTGATATAGGTGCTTTTACTTTTCATTTTTGCCTTTGCCTTTCTTTTCCTGCACGTGAGATTAGTTATGATATCATGCCCATAATTATGCCCATAATTGTGCAATATATTATGCAAAAACTGCAAGATATACTAAAGAAACATACAGGAGTAATAGTGTATATAGAATTAGACCATATGTTATCATGCTCATAATTGCACCAAAGAATTTAATTTAATATTATATTGAGTACTAAATTAGAATATTTTGGATGAGTTTCAAAGAGGTCGGTCCACCAATCATCTAGTTTTAGAATGACGTGAAAAGAACTTGTGCGAAAGGGCTTGATCATGTGGTGATCACGTGATCTCACCTAGTCTAGTCCAATACATCTTAGACATTGATCGTCCGGCTCAATCCAATGCATCTAGTCATGGATCTCAAGAGAATGTGTCAGGCCACGTATCGGAGGTAACTGAAGTCCTCATAGCTAAATGCAACATGTATTAAGGGATCGATTTCACTTACTTTCACGATCTAATTGAGGCTAGAGAACATGTGACCGAATATATATGCATTTGAATCAGTCCTCTTAACAACTACTTGGCCAATAAATACTCCAACCATACTGTTGGAGAGAGGATTCACTTTTTTACATATCAAAATTCAATAAACTTTCTCATACATCTCATCGTGGAAAAAATATTCTCTATTGTACTTATTACAAACAATTTCATACATGGATTAAGTGGAAACTAACACCCCTACTTCATTATTATTGATTGGCAAAAATAGAATTACAAAATACACAAGGTAGAATTGAGTTGCAAAACTCATATATTAAACCTAAAAGTAATGTTAAAATATAATATATTATTTCTTTTTTTATTATTATAAGTTTATGTTTATTTTATTTTCTCTATATTTCATTTGAAATTAAGAGTAGATTGATTGTATTTTCTCCTATAAAAAGGATTTTTATATTCATCATAATATATCACAATATTATTTTCTACATAGTATCGTGAGTCTGATTAGGATTAAAGTAAAGTTTTTTACATATATGTTATTCCTCTCAACCATATCAATTGTAAATTGTACCACAAACAAAGAAGTCAGTGTCAGTGGCAGCCGTGAAACCCCATATAAAGGCAATGTCGACCATGGCATTTTAAAAGTTCAAGTTGTTGGTCGTGGAAATGAACACAATTTTGTTCCACCAGTGTTCGACCTAGGTGGTAGACGAGGAGTTGTTTTACTAGAATATGACCTAGGTTATAGACAGAGACTTGTTCCATCAAAGTTCGTTGCACATAAAACTGTTTATGATTGATTGGATTATGGTGCAGGTATTTCCAAAAACTATAATGTTTATTGATATGATGGTGATTACCGTAGTGCTGGATCATTTAACTTTGGAAGTGGGGGTCAAAATAACTCTCTTTAAGTTGCTCAAACAACACAAATTACTCTCACATTGTCCTTT